CTGATCTTGAAGGAAATGCTTTCAGCTTTTCACCGTTGAGTGTGATGTTAGCTGTGGTTTTGTCATATATGGCCTTCATTATCTTGAGGTAGGTTCCCTCTATGCCTTTCCACTTTCAGGAGAGTTTTTACCATAAATTGATGTTGAATTTTATCAAAAGCTTTTTCTGCATCTATTAAGCTGATCGTATGGTTTTTATTCTTCAGTTTGTTAATAGGGTGTATCACACTGATTGATTTGAGGATACTGAAAACTCCTTGCATCCCTGGGATAAATCCCACCTGATCATGGTGTAGGATCCATTTAATATACTGTTGGATTTGGTTCACTAGTATTTTGTTGAGGAGTTCTGCATCTATGTTCATCAAAGGTACTGGCCTATAATTTTCTTTTTTTGTGGTATCTTTGGCTGGTTTTGGTATCAGGGTGATGGTGGCCTCATAGAATGAATTCGGATGTGTTCCTTCCTCGGCAGTTTTTTTGGAATGGATTCAGAAGCACAGGTATTAACTCTTCTCTAAATGTTTGACAGAATTTGCCTGTGAAGCCATCTGGTCCTGGACTCTGGTTGTTGGGAGTTTTTTAATCACAGTTTCAATGTTCATATTTCCTATTTCTTCCTGGTTCAGTCTTGGGAGATTGTACCTCTCTAAGAATTTGTCCATTTCTTCCAGGTTGTCCCTTTTATTGGCATAGAGCTGCTTGTAGTAGTCTCTTAGGATGCTTTGTATTTCTGCGGTGTCCCTTGTAACTTCTTTTTCATTTCTAATTTTATTGATTTAAGCCCTCTCCCTTTTTCTTCTTGATGAGTCTGGCTAAAGGTTTATCAATTTTGTTTATCTTTTCAAAGAACCAGATTTTTAGTTTCTTTGATCTTTTCTATTATATTTTTAGTCTCTGTTTATTCAAAATAAGGATTAGCCAGAAGCACTTTTTTCCCTTGCTTTCTTCTTGGTTACTTGGTTGCTTATTTACTAGTAAGCCACCAGAATATTTATATGGAAACAAGCTAACGGTATTATTTACAACTAAGCAAAGTCACTGCAAACAAATGTCTGTAAGCAACTATTATAGGTAAAACACTGTACAGTTGTAAAGTAGTGAAGCCAGAATAATGTAGACTTTAAGAATAAGTTCTTATGTAAGGGTGGGATCCCCTAGAGAGGAGAGGGACCAGGACCGGGTGTGAAGGAACTCCAGTTTCAGCACAAATAGGGGCGATGCAGCAGAGCACAGTGCAAGTGAGTGCCCAGAGGAGCTGGAGAACACGGGGAGATTTGAGACAGAAGACGAGGCGGGCAAGGGGTTTAAGAAGAGGGAGGGGGCTTCCCTGGTGACGCAGTGGTTGGGAGTCCGCCTGCCGATGCAGGGGACACGGGTTCGTGCCCCGGTCCGGGAGGATCCCACGTGCCGCGGAGCGGCTGGGCTCGCGCGTCCGGAGCCTGTGCTCTGCAATGGGAGAGGCCACAACAGGGAGAGGCCTGCGTACCGCAAAAAAAAAAAAAAAAAAGCTACCTTACGCTACTGATTTTAAAATGGAAGGAGACACAGTGGATGCTCACTACTCACAGAGCGTGTATTTGAAGATTCGTGTAGTCACTAAGATTCATTTGTAACCCCTAACCAGTACTGGGGGGCGCTTGTGGTCCTTTGTGGGGATGCTCGTGCAGGGAGTGGCGATGGGCTTGAGTCGCCCCATGTACACGTTCCCACCTGAAGCTGAGGGGACGCCGCCCTCTCGTTTCCGCTCTCATACTGGCAACACATCCTTTGCCCGGTCTGTTTAGCGCCGTGGGTTTCTGGTCTGTTTTGTCGCATTGCCTTGCTTTTTGTTGGAGATTTGTTCTGGTTAAAGTGGCCCCAAGCATAGTGGTGGAGTGCTGCCTTTGCTGACTGATACATGAGGCTGCCCGGGAGGTGCCAGTCACATTGCTAGTGTGTGATGAAGTTCCGAAAAGGGGAAAAAAAGTGGCCAAATTTGTCGTTTTTGAGATGGTGATGGGTTAAAAGTACAGTGGAGGCGTTATTGTGAGGCTGAAAGCAAAAGAAATTTACTGTCCTGCTACCCAGGATCATGAAAATAATTTCAACTAGAGTTTTTTAAGTAAAGAAATATTACAATTAATTATGACTTTATTAAAAAGAGAAAAACACACATAAAATAAGATTATGTATTGACTGGCTGGCAAAAATGTGGTGACCAGAAGCTCACGGGAAACTAACACTATTTCTCCAGGAAACAGCCATCCAGGATTTGCTAATTCGGCATTCACGGTGATTTCCCAAACCCTCACTTGTGTGAATAACGAGAACCGATTGTGTAGACCTGCATGAGAAACGCATGCCAGTTTTTGATTAAGCTTGGAAGAGTGTGGACTGCTGTGTATGTGTCTGAAAAAGTGCCATGAAGGACTGCTTAAAAGACAGCCGGTTCCTTTTAATCATGTCTTAAAGGGTGGGTTTTATTCGGGTTTGGTGAAGGCAACAGATCCAGAGACAACGGCCACTGAGAAGGTAGTTTGTTACTCACAGCTCCCAGGAGGGGGGACCCTCCACACCACTCGGGCCACGCGGGGAGGCACCAGGGTCGGTCAGGAAGCAGGAAACTGTGCTCAGGAGCCTTTACTCTGGCGAGTAGGAAGGGCAAGATGGTCTCAGGATTGGCCAGTTTGGATACTTTCGGTGGGCTCTGGCGCAGGCGCTGTCCCCAGATGCCTGGCACCTGGCCCTGGGGTGACGAGGGTGGTGGCCCAGAGTGTGAGGACCCCATAGAGGAGGTGCTGGGGAGGGGCTCTGGGTCGGCTGGTCTGCACGGGACACACAGGCCCGCGGGTGCGTTGTTTGCCATCTGGGCAGCGGCCACCCTGCGAGGGCGGTCCCGGCAGGGTCCGCAAGGCTGCAAGATGTCAGAACTTCACAGATACAGAAAACAAAAAGGCGTGATTAAATAAGAGGCAAGGGCAATTGAGGGCAGGGATCAAGGGTGTGGTTTTAGAAGCACTGAGTTTGAAAAGCATCTACATGGGACAGGAAGTTGGGAACACCAGCTCCTCCAGGGAATAGCTCCGGTGAAGGTAGAAACGCAGAGCCGTCTTGGAAAGCCTTGGGCTTGGGTGAAATTCTTCACGGAGGTGGCAGATCCAGAGAGAGCGGGCATGGACTCGGGCAGGGCGGCGTTGAGAGCTGAGGGGTCGGACGTGTTGCTTGGTGCGGCCTCTTATGAAAACACGATTACGCTCAGATGTGTGTGGGGTGCTTAGGAGACCTGGAGCCACGGGTATCAATTACACATCATAGCACTGGAGTGCAGCAAACTGGAATCCAGCCCTGGCTGCTCCGGACCAGGGAATGTTAGCCCTGCTGTGTGCCCGACTTTGGAACTTGCTACTCTGTCCGATACGGGAGCCACGAGCCCCGTGGAGCAGCTGAATTTTAAATTGATTTCAGTGATTTAAGAATTTGATTGATTGCTCAGCTGCAGCAGCAATGTGGTGACGAGGGGTCACCACATACAGAAGCTTTCATCATGGCAGACAGTTGTGTGGGACGGTGCCCTGCCCCCCGTTATCCACACCGACCAGGCCCAGTGCCAACCTCCTTCCAGGTTCCCCTGCGAGGTCAGCTCCTCTGTGAGCTGCGCCAGTGCTTTAGTGACAGTCGCAACCCTCTGTTGGGACGCCGTACCGCTCTCGCCCTCCATGTTCAGCTGTAGGCTCATCTCCCTCCGACCTGAGACCTGACTCATGCACTTTATTACTTGTCCAGCCCCCTTAGGATTTAAGAGGCGTGAGAGCAGCTGCTCCTGGGAGGTTATTTCACTACGATGCCTAGAGTGGCACCACTTGTTGAAAGAAAGGATATGAATTCACTCAATGATTGACTTCAGACTTAATGTATAACGTGCAATTCTTTTCTTAAAAAAAAGCCCTTGATGTCTGCCATGTAAAGAGGTTAAAAAAAAAAAAAAAACCTCTAGTCAGGGGGTTCCCCTTTTAGCTAAACACCATTGGTGCCCGCTTGCTGTTTATTTTCTCAGATTGAAAGTTCTTCTTTTCTCGTTCCAAAGTGCTCAGAGCAAGTTCCCACCAGACGCACCCAATTTCATCCAAGAGTTTTCCCCTCGGAAAACCTCCATCAAACACTTGGCGTAAGCATTCGGACGAGATGCTAATCACCCAGGGAAGCGGTGCCTTTCACAACCGGGGACACACTGGGGTGATTATTAAGCCCAGGATTGCCCGGACCTCCTTTCCCACACTCAGTGACCGGCTTCTCATCATGGTGTCTTTTCTTCCACTCGGTCGGCCAAAGTAGACACGTGCAGAAAACGCGCTGCTCCAGCTGGAAGTGGAAACGTTTAAGGAGCCCGTATGCTGGGCTGGCTTTGAGAGCAGGCCTTGTTTCTGTAGTGATCGCACACATGCACTGCAAGGATGCACTTACCGTTAAGGCACCGGGAGGCTGCTCACCCTGTATCTTCTGATGAGGGGACCCTGTCACAGCAAGGCTCGAGACGGAGCACATCTGAAGGGCTGGGTCTTCAAGTTGAGGGAAAGGCTTTTGTTCCTGCCTGGGCTTTGACAGCCTCTCCATCAGCTTCGTCAGAAAAATGTAGGATTCAGAGACTTGAGACCAGCCTAGGAAATAAGAGAATGGCTGCTGAGTGTTACCCTTTGTTGGGGGATTTACTTACTGTGGACACCATGGCTAGGTTATTCTCAAGACCTCTGTGGAGTCATTTTGCTATGACTTTTCTAATTATTTTTTTCTTTGTGGTTCTTGTATTTCAATTCACTTTTCCTTTGATGGTTTATTACTTTTTCCCCCTGACTCTAGTCAGAATTTTGGGAGACCCCCCTCCTCTGGTTGGTGTACGCAGTTCTGGATCACCTGCAGGACTCTGTCCTTCCTTCCTGGTCTGTCATGCTTTAAGGACTTGGGGCTGCGTGCACTGTGACTTGCAGACGGTTCTTTTTTGATGATTGGTGTTGACCTTACAGATCCCGGTGTCAGCCGGTATCACGTGCAGTGGTTTCCGGAAGTCTGTGCCCACAACGAATCCGCCGGGGCGGACCCATCCTCGGGCGTGACCCAGGTGAGGAGGTGGCCGAAATGCCGGATTCTGAACGGCTTCTCTGGACAGAGAGAGGTGCAGGCCGTGTGTCCAGTGGGTAACTCGTCCTCACCAGGCTCCCTACGGGACCCATGACCAGGTGGGAGCGGGAGACACAGGGTCACCTGTTCACTCATCCCTCGGCCCTTCACAGCCTCACACGCCATCAGTCAGCACAGGGCGGGCCCTGAGATGCAGACATTCAGGACACAGCTCGCGGGGAGCTCCCAGGACACAGGGGAAACGCTGCCAGCCTCTGGGTGTCTCATCTTAATTGCACGAAAGCTCTGAATTGTTTTCTGGATTTTGACTCGGCACCATGACCTTAAAGGTCTCATTTCCCCGGGGAATTTCTGTATGACACTCTCATTCAGTATCTCCTTTGCTGCCTCCCTAACTTCCACCAACTCGTCCAGGTAATGAAAGATACGGCGCGTCCTGTGATGTTCTGCCTTTAAGGGTCCCAGAGATGCTCCTGCTGCAGCTCTCGTACATGTACACGAAGCCCTGACAACTACACCCTAGAATGGGCACGCACACCCAACAGCCAAAGGCGAAGAAACCTCGCACAAGCTCGTTAGGCCCGTCAGTGGCAGCTGTCCCGTTAGCCTAAGGTTATACACTCAGCCCGCAGTTGAGTCTGGTTTTCCTAATCCTGTTTAATCGCAAAGTTCCGGCCAGCAGCAATCGCAGCCCTCCCAGCAGGGGAGGAAATACACCGCTCAAGAATGTCTTCCTTCCTTTCCGTAAGGAAAAACTCACAGCTAAAGCACGCCTGTGTCTCAGAGAAGCCCGAGTTAGCTTTTTTTGTATTAACAAGTTAGGTGTCTGTTCACAGCGTTACCCACTGCACCGCCTCCCACCTCGCCCCGCTGCTGCCAGCTCCCCGAGGCTGCTCGCGAGGGCCGCAAGTCGGCTGCTTTGACGTGGAAGCGCTGCCGTCCTGTCGGGTTCCGGAGCCTATGTCCCACCCCATGGGAGCCTCTCACGGTTGTAATAAACGAAAGCGGGGCCCCTGTCTCCTTTGCACTTTTTATGAAAGCCGTGTTGCACACGTCCCATATATAGGAAGACAGCCTTGGTGGAGGTAGGATTTCCTCTCCTGCCAATTTCGTACCCTCGTGAGATTTACTGTTGGCGTATTCTCTCTCTCTAGGAAAATTACATGATTCTTCAAGATCTGGCATTTTCCTGCAAATATAAGGTGACCGTCCAACCCACACGGCCAAAGGGCCGCTTGAAAGCAGAAACCGTTTTCTTTACGACCCCGCCGTGCTCCGCTCTGAAGGGCAAAAGCCACAAGCACGTCAGCTGCCCCGGCGACGCAGGTACGTTTCACGCGAACTTCCAAGGTTGCGGCTGTGATGCTGGCAACTCTGTACACATCTCCAGACCGCTTTTCACAGGGCCTACAAACCCAAAGTATCCCCCTTTCTAAACTGCAGCGTGACGGCCCAGTTGGGAGGTAACACGTACGAAGGCACGCATTACTTCCTCATTGCAACAGCTTTGGCGAGACAGCCTTTGCTGGCGTATCAGCCCTTTAGAAATGAAGCCGCGGGCCCGTGTACTGCTTGTGCTTTGGCGCACTTTATGTAAATGATTTCACTTTTATCCCGACCCTCTGCCATGGGCGTCACCTCGACACGCTTTCCGCACGCCCCGTCTTTACCTTCCCAAGCCTCTCCTACAACGGGGGCAGCTATTCTCAGACGCAGACCCCTGAGCGCCTTCTCCCGACGC